TGCAAACCAAACATTTAAGGCTATGTCGGAACAAATAAAGAATCTTGCGGATTGGTCAGAAATCCACAATTTGAGTTGTGGAGGTGAAAATCACATTTAAAATGATCAAAATTGAGTTTATAAAGCACTTACTCAAATGGAACATCACCGACCAGCATCCAGTCACCATCTTTATCTTCATAGGTAAGTACATATTCAGAACCATGCAGGAGATCCATTAATCGATTCTCACTCAATCCATCTCGACCTGGTACTCCATGAGAACCACACTGGCCTGGAAAAGCAATCACACAGACATGAATTAGCTCCTAACTAAACATGTCATCAATTCTTACCCTGGTGGAAATGTTGCAGCAAATTCAGGCGCAGGCAACTTTTTTTAATGCATGCCTGCCATGTTATTACAAACAAAAATAGCTCACAACTGACACAATGCCAGAAGTAGAAGGAAACCTTACTTTGTCGTCCTTTCTCTATGAACAAACTATTCCTGTAATGACAAAACTCTCTCAACCTCAGAAAGGAAAAAGACAGACGACCAAGGGAGAGAGAGAGAGGGAGAGAGAGAGAGAGAGAAAGAGAGAAGGATAAAAGGAAATCTACAGAGGGTAGTTAAGCAGACTTTTACCAAGTTCCTATACACCTTTATTGAAATTGAAGCATTTCCAGTAACAAAAAGCTACTAGCAGCACAAGGAACTCTTGGATGTCAAGATAAAAATACCAGGAATCCACAAGGGGTAAAATAGGGAAAAATATACAAAGGTAGATTATTCTTTTTAATTGTAACAGCTGCAACTAGGATTAGGGTTTCGTAACAGAAAACGCTGTGCGACTACCGGCCTACCGGCCATTCAAGCAACCTCCTAGCACGACTAGATGAAATGTGCGCCATTGTAGCTTATAAATAGACATGAATTCTATGGATGAAGCATCGAAAATTATTGAAATCAGAATATAATTTTCTCTCAAATCTCAACAACTCTCGGTTTTCTCTCTCTTTTTTCCTCTTTCTTTCAGACCCGAATCATGTATCAGGTTCGTGACAAAAAATATGGCATGGGATATATTAGAAAGAAAAAATTACCAATTGTAAAACAGCTGAACATCTTCTCCAATGCAGACGAAAGATCCATGTAGCTACAGTAGGTTTTTAGATCAACTTTCCTCAAGTAGGGGGCGCCATCCATGCTGACCTTGACATACAGACACCCAAATCCCAATTTTGCCTCCGCATCCTCGTTAGTCTTGGGAGGGTGGGAAGCCATAGTATTCTTCCGGAAAGAACGAATTGGTGGCCATCCTACGACTTGTGCTCTGTCAAACCACAACACGCAAGCAATTAGAGTTTGCAGAGGGCTGAGACTAACATTTGCAAGAAACATTAATTAACAGTTACGCAGTAACTAGTTCAACACTTCAGTTAGATGCTGCAAAGGAGCAAAAAAAAAAACCCTCCTATAAAATTGATCAAAGACTAAAGACTTTTTACACATCAAGGCTATTATGCATTTGGATTTCAGCAGAAGATCCACACAAGATCGTTAAATAGTCCTTTTTCTGAAAAAAGATCTTGAAATCACATGATTATTAAATATATGCTTACAAGTTTAATCTGGAAAACCAATCATGAGAGGAAAAGTTCCTCAAAATGGAATATATATACATGTATATATGGTAAGTCAGAAAACAAACATGAAAAAGAAGTCAAACTGTAACTGATGAGCGGGGAAATGGTGCTCAAGAAATTATTCACTAAGATTTCTATATGCATTCTTTTCCAACTCATCCAAATACCCAAATTGTTAATTGAGTTCTTCTCTATCCATTTCCACTTGTTAGGAAGTCACAAAAACAATACACTTGGTAAATTGTTTCCAAAATTTCCTCCAGTATTTAGAAGAAGAATAAACTAAAACAGTCAATAACAAGCTGAAATTTACGTAGAAAGAAAAGTTTTTAAAAAAAATAAAGTTAAGCAGAGTGACAGGAGAGTCTAATCAAGTTACTTTGAAGCAGGAGCAACAGCAGGGCCACCAGTACCAGCAACCTGAGCCTTCTTCTTCTCCTGCCCCAATCCAAGTGGCTTAGGTGACTGAGGTACCGCATCATCCTTCACAACAGGACCCGAGTCCGACCCAGCAACAGCCTTACCTGCAACTCTAGGAGAGAACAATACGCCACCACAACCGCCGACAGAAGAACCTTTACCGGCCAAATCAACAGCAGCAGCTTCAGATCCAGAGGAGATGACCCACTTGGCAGACCCTCCAGCACCATCAAAAATGGTGTCAGAGAAACCCCTTTTAGCCCCTGACACTGCATAGCTCTTCAGGGACAGCACTACCAGGTCCCCATTTCTATCATCATCATCATTATCACCATTCCTGGATGGTGACTCGGACCCGGGTAACCCAAGTCTCAACTCGGTGGCCTTGAAGTTGAGACCATTCTTTCTGTTGTAATGTTTATCAGAGTTTTCCATCGGAGGAACCTCTGACAAGCCTATGTAATCATGTTCCACAACTGGCATAGACATCAAAACTCACATGCAGTGCTCAAAAAACCATGAACCGGGCATTTAAAGAGGAGGATAAGAAAAAGAAAAAACAAGAACAAGAAGAATGAGAAGGAAGCCTATCTTGGATTATGAGCTGAGAAGCCTGAGTTTTCAGAGAAATAAGCAAAAGAAACCCTTTTGAGCTTTTGGGCATATACTCTCTGTTTTACTACTATGTGTGTGTATATATAATATCACAATCGTTCCCTCTCTCTCTCTCTCTCTCCCCTACTGTGAGTGAGTAAATCTGTAAGAAGGAAGATGGAAAGTACGGGTAAAAGGAAACCCACTAAACATGCTTTTAAATCCAATAAAAAAAGAAAGTACTCGTTAAGATTTTTTTTTAAAATGAATAATTTTTAGTTTAACTTTTCTGATTTCTCCTCCTGTTTTCAGTTATATTTTTTTGAAAAAGAAAAAAAAAGTTGCATCTTTTCATGTTTTTTCTTTTTGGGTTTTACGATATAATTGGGGTATTATTATACTCCCCTTCTTGTATCGCATACAACTTTATGTGCGCAACTACCCCGACAAGCCACAGAACAGTTCCGGCCGACCTCCCCGACACTGCCCTTTTTACATTTTTCACGCGCCGGCCATGCTAAAATGCGCAGCAAACACACACCGACGTGCGCGCGAAATGCTAAAATGCACCTATTGCAGAAAGAAATATTTTCTCGAGGGTCTAAGAGTAGAAAGAGAGAGGACGAAGAATGGTATCTGAAACGCCAAACTTTCTCGAACTTTCAAGTAGGTAAGACAGGGAAAACGCTGCGAAAAGAGAGAGATTTTATTTTTGGCAGATATGGTGTTTGGATTCCGATAAAAAGTTAAGAGAGTAGAGAAAGGAAAAGGAGAGGAGGAGGGAGTGTGCGGGAAAGCTGACAGGGGGAAAATGAATCAAGGGAGAGAGGAAAGGGAAAACGGCAGTTTTGACGAAGTGAAAAGAGATGGTTGTGCGTGGGGGTATGAAAGAGAAGTGCGACTGTCGTTTTTGGATTCTTCTGCTTCCCGTTTCGTGTTCTTGTTTGGGTCTGCTCAGACATGTTTGGCACTTTCCCAGAAAATTTTTAAACCCGGAATATAAAATTGTAGAAACTCAACTTGGAAATTTCCCCATTAGAAAATGTACATGAAGTAATTCTTTACGTACTAGCAATTTAAATTTCATGTTCTCACTTGAATAAATCTAAAGCCATTATCATGTACCCTATATCTTATTTGAAACATTAAGGTTTATTAGACCTAGTATTATATAGTTTCGTACAAAAAAATATATATATGTGTGCCAATTTTACATCATATACATATATATTAGATAAATAACCATTTTCATTTAAGGGTAACAATTATCATTTCACATAGTTCTCTATTGTCAATATTATTAAATAAAAATATTTTTTTTTCCCAATGTCGATGACCATCAATATTGTCTTATATATAACTATCATAGAGTAGATATTGCCACTAATTTCATATATTTTTTATAATATTTATGAGTTTATCACCAATAATTGATTATTTTATTATTAATATACACTATTTTTTGTTATTACTAATTATTTTATTACTACTATTAATTAACATGTTATCATTAATGATTCTCTTGTTATTGCTGATAATTATCTTATTATTGATTATCCTATAGATTTTTCACTGAGCAAAATGAGAATTTTTCTTCATAATTTCTATGCGAAGGAGAAATTCTCTTCGATATAGATTCTCTCTCTATGGGACAAAATTCTTGGTAACTTCTAAATTAATAAGAGTCATCATTTATGATAATATCAATAGATTTAGAGCAACTAATATTTCGACGTGTATATTTTTGTACGCCTTTTAAAAAAATTGTTCGTTAAATTTAATTATCCAAATACATGGTTGACTAAAATAATACATTAAAAACTTTACGTTAATATATATTTTATATTGCATATCCTACTACAGTAAGGTAATCCACCAAGTTATGTGTCTGCACTAGGTGAATTGTCATTAATATAGGACATACAATATTAAATTTGGGAATGATATTCTGATACCATTATTATGTGTAAATTTTAGGAAGATAACTTTTCAGGTTTAGAATATGATAGAAAAAATGAGAGATGCCTAGAGAGTGAGAAATATATAAAAAGATAATTAATATAAAAAAGAGAACAACAGAAAGAGAGAGAGAGAGAGCGAGGGAATTAATTCATTGTTTTTTATTGCATGTCTTCCTCTATTAGATTTGTAAGTACTTGCATAGTATTTGCTCTTAACTAACTAACTAATTGTTAATAAGTATCAGTTATTTTTTACTATTTCTCTAATTTTATTATTTTACCTATGACATTATTATGTACATATGATGAAAATATCCTAGTTGCAAGTTAAAATAAAACTCTAACTATTATACACATATTATATATTGGTGAAAATACTCAAACCAACAGCTCATACTTAAATCCTCGTATTCACATGTTCAAAACCTCAAAATCGTTCAT